ACTTCTCTTCAAACTTCTGTTTTAACTCATGAGATCTTTGGTCCACCTTACATATTTCTTAGGGCTGCAGTCGCCACTATGATTGTTCTGGGATATTTTTGCATTACCACAGCAAATTATACTACAAGATTTGATTGACTTTTATAGCCGGACTTCAAGATTCTATCCCCAGTTTATACTCCCTTTGGGACAGCTTAAACGTTCACAGTATTCATAGATAAACACGGAGATCTTCTTTCCTGATCCATCTTCTTATTCGGCAATTTAGGTTTTCGGATCAGTGTGAATTATCTAACTAATTTACACTGCCGATATTCCTTTTGCAGTTCAGGCAAGTCAGTTCAACTTTCATGATACTCCGCGTCACTTACATCTGGTTAGCAGGGTTCGTCGAATCATTCGCTATCTTCTTTGGCACATTTTATCTCGGGTTTATTCTTTCCTACTGGCTCTCTCCACATACGCCTTGTTGCTTACATTGATGCTTGATTGGGGCCGCGTTGCTCCAGACACTCGACGCTCTATTAACTGGTTCGGTGTATGTTCTTTTGGCGGATTCTTTGAGTATGTTTCTTGGCGATTCTTTGATATCTTGGAAAAGTAAGAAACAAGACCGTGTTTCAAAATCTTCTACTGAGTCTGAATATCGGGCTATGTCCGCTGCTTGTTCCGAGATTGTTTGGTTACGTGGGTTACTTGCTGAAATTGGCTTTCCTCAGCCTCATCCTCTACATGCTGACAACACTAGTGCCATCCAAATTGCTACCAATCCAGTTTTTCATGAACGTACCAAACATATCGAAGTCGACTGTCATTCTATTCGAGAGGCAGTAGATATCGGTGTCATTTCTCTTCCACATTTCTCCACTGCTCTTCAAATTGCTGATGTATTCACAAAATCTATGACACGACAGCGTCATCAATTTCTCATTGGCAAATTGATGCTTCTTAATCGCCCAGCATCAATTTGAGGGGGGATGTTAGTATAATGTTAGTATACTATTGTAATTAATTGACTATACTATTGTAAGATAGCTGTAAATAACCATCACATCAATTAGGGAGCTAATTCAGGCTGTAAATTGTTCAACCATATAGGAGACATTGGGCATCAATTAGGGAGAGATATTTAGGGCATCAATTAGAAGCCAATTAAGGCTGTAATTGCCAGCCATAATTAGAAGGACAATGGCATCCAATGTAGGGGCTGTTAATTTAGGAATTTATTCCCAAATTTGTGGATACTTCAGTCTATTTAAACCCAATCAGCTTGTGGGATAGACAAGCAATTTCTATCAAATTCCATGGGAAATACAGCAAATTTGTCATTGATCGCCCAGCATCAATTTGAGGGGGATGTTTAGGTATTAATGTTAGTATTACTATTGCTAAATTAATTGACTATTACTATTGAAGGATAGCTGTAAATAACCACAATTTAGGGAACTAATTAAGCTGTAAATGTCAACCATAATTAGGAGACAATGGGCATCAAGTAGGAGACATATTAGGCATCAATTAGGGAGCCAAATTAAGGCTGTAATTGCCAGCCATAATTAGGAGACAATGGCATCAGTTAGGGGCTGTAATTTAGGAATTTATTCCCAAATTGTGGATACTTCAGTCTATTTTAAACCCAATCAGCCTTTGTGGATACTTCAGTCTATTTAAACCCAATCAGCTTGTGGGAATAAACAAGCAAATTTCTATCAAAATTCCATTGAAATACAGCAAGTTTTGTCAAGGGCATCTAATTTGGATTTTAGTTCTTCATGTTGGACTTTGTTGGCAGCTTGTTCCTCTAGGAATAATATCAGAATTCTACCAAGTTGCTGTTGAACAGAGTCGCCAATAACTTTTGGCTTTGATATCTGTCAGGTGAATTTTAATGCGTTTGTATGTATTTCTTAGGTCAAGATACAATTCTATATATACAAGTTTCTCTAACCTATTCTTGGAAAGTGTATTTCTCATATCCCTATGATTAAGCCATCTACATATACAATATTTGACTTCCCATAACAAAACCAGATGTTATAGTCCCAAATTTGGATCTAGTTATTGATATTTGAGATAGGGTGTCATAGGAGGAGTTTTTTTCCTTCTATCTATGGTGACAAACTTACAGAGAATCTGCATCTCCTAGAGCTCACTAAGAGAGAACTTTACCATCTCTGAGCTTTAGGAACTCAAAACCTTTTCTTAAGAATCTGCTTACAATTTTTCCTGATATCACAGCCTTTTGAACAACTAAATGCAAAGCTAAAACTATCCACTACCCACTACAATAACTACCCACTAATTACTACCTATTACAATAATAACTTGCTTAATAACATGATAAAAACTGAATAACTAAATAAAAACACCCTAATACAGCAGTAAAACTACCCTAACTACAGCAGCTCTACAACAGCTTCGGTGGGAAATATTTCTTATTTGTAGGTTAATTATGGGCTAGATTGGCTTGGAGCAATGTGTTATGGCGCTGCTTGACTTAGGGTAGTTTTACTGCTATTTACGGTGTTTTTATTTAGTTATTCAGTGTTTATCATGTTATTATCAGTTTCTTTGTTATCTTATGTTAGTGGCTATTATTGGGGTGGTTAAGCAAGTAACTATTTAATGGTAGTATTAGTGCGGTTAGTGGGATAGTTTTAGCTTACATTTAGTTGTTTAAAGGCTTGTTATATCAGGAAAAAATGTAAGCAGAATTTTATGAAAGTTTGAGGTTCCTAAAACTCAGAGATTGTAGAGTTCTCTCTTAACGAGCTCTAGGGAGATTGCAGGATTCTCTCTAAGTCTGTCACCACTGATAGAGCGGAAGAAAACTTCCTTCATAAGATTACCCATCTCAACCTGATTCCCTAAGTCAAAGACCTAACTAGATCGCGAGATTGTTATGGCGCTGGCTTGACTTAGGGGGGGGCTGCTGGACTTAGGGTAGTTTTACTGCTATTTACGGTGTTTTTATTTAGTTATTCAGTGTTTATCATGTTATTATCAGTTTCTTTGTTAATGGGTGTTAGTGGGGTGGTTAAGCTAGTTATTTATCGTAATGGGTAGTTATTAGTTGGTAGTGGGTAGTTTTAGTTTTGCATTTAGTTGTTTAAAAGGTTGTGATATCAGGAAAAATGTAAGCAGAATTTCATGAAAATGTTTTGAGTTCCTAAAATTCAGAGATTGTAGGGTTCTCTCTTAACGACCTCTAGGAGATTGCAGATTCTCTCTAAGTCTGTCACCACTGATGGAAGGAAGAAGACTCCTTCTAAGATACTCATCTCAAACCGGATCCCCTAATTCGAAGACCCATAACTAGATCCAAATTTGGGACCATAACAATTGGTATCAGAGCCAACAGTTATGGGCGAATCTGTTCAAGACCAGCTTACCAAACTCTTCAATTTACTCTTATTCGAGCAGCAGGCCAATCAGACCCGTAATGAGAAGGTTGAACAACTTCGTGCCAAATTGGATGCCATGTCTTTTGACTTGGAATCCACAAAGAAGGGGCTGACTTCTTCAAGTGCTGAAAGTCAAGCACTGAAAGCAAAGGGTCCAATAGGTTCAGCCAGTCTAGAATCTCCTAAGGGCACTACAACTGTTTCGAAATTCACAGAGTGGAGGTTCTTGGACCACCTATGAGGAGTAATAATTTAGGAAAGTTGGCAAAATTGGAACAACCTAAAACCGCCGCAGAGCGAATAGTTTTCCAGCAAATGTTTCAAGTCTCAATAGTTGTGTGTATAGAAGATAGAACGGAGAAAAAGAAAGAAATAATCCAACATCAATTGTTAGCACAATTGGAGGGTCTTGCTTGTGATTTGGCAGCCTCTAAATGGGAAGGGAGTGGGAAGAAGCAATTTGAGAATGGCATAGAGGAAACATTAGAGGAGCCATTTGATCCAGGAATATTTCCAGGAATATTAATTAAATATAGAAGCACAATAAACAGCTCCTTATTTGCAGAATAATAGAGGGTGATAAGGATTTTGTTTGCATCGCATTTTCACAAGTTGAAGATTGCATGTCATCCATCCTTTGCGCTTGAGGACAAGCACTTTTTCAAGGGGTGTAATGTTATGGCGCTGCTTGACTTAGGGTAGTTTTACTGCTATTTAGGGTGTTTTTATTTAGTTATTCAGTGTTTATCATGTTATTATCAGTTGTTAGTGGCTATTAGTGGGGTGGTTAAGCAAGAACTTAATTGTAATGGGTAGTTATAAGTGGCTAGTGGAAGTTTTAGCTTTACATTTAGTTGTTTAAAAAGGCTGTTATATCAGGAAAATGTAAGCAGAATTTTATGAAAAGGTTTTGAGTTCCTAAAAACTCAGAAGATTGCTGGTTCTCTTTTCTTAACGAGCTCTAGAAGATTGCAGGATTCTCTCTAAGTCTGTTCACCACTGATAGAGGGAAAGAAAACTCCTTCTAAGATACCCATCCTCAAACTATTCTCCCTTAATTCAAAGACCATAACTAGAGCCGAATTTGGACCAAATAAACACTGATAGAGGGAAGAAAACTCCTTCTAAGATACCCATCTCAAACCTGATCCCCTAATTCAAAGACCCATAACTAGATCCGAATTTGGGACCATAACACAATGTATGACCATTGTATGGATGCAAGACCATTCTTTTGTTATTAAACTGTGTAAATACTTAATTAATAAAGGTTAGAGCAATGAATGAAATTACTGCTTATTAAGGTCCAATTCCTAAACCTGTTTGTGTGTGATTGTTCTGTGTGAAAGGTTTCCTCTCTATCATTTCCTACAATTTTAAAGTACCTAATCAATTTTTCAAATCCCATCAGTTGCACATGTTTGCCTTTTCTTTCCTGTCAATGGGAAATGCTGATTGTAGATTTTGTAAATTCTTGAATTTCACAATTATGACGTAGTGAACTTGTGAGAATTCTCAATCTGGTCCTTCTTGTTGGGTGTGATTTCTAAAGTAGAATGTTGACATTTTTCCTCTCTTTGACAACCACGAGAACAGGGAAGAAAAAACTTCAGTTCTTTCCAATCTGATTAAGAAGACGAATGCTCAGGAAATGAAATGGATTATCATGATAATTCTCAAAGGTACTGTCTGTCAACATTTGATGATAATGAGACATTTTATGCTCACTATAATCGTTACGATTATTACTATTGTTCAGATCTCCTAGCTGAGTTTTCAACTGTGTTTGTAAATGTGTTTCAGATTTGAAATTGGGAATTAGTGAAAAAAGCATATTTCATGAATTTCATCCTGATGCCGAAGACTTGTTTAATGTCACATGTGACTTAAAATTAGTTTGTGAAAAGTTGAAGGATCGAAGCCTAAGGCATAAGCGCCAGGTTTGTTGTATGCACAAAGTAGTACTTTATGCTATAGAATGAGAATTCATCATGTTCTCCAAGCTTTAACCCATACATTTAAATTGTAATTTGAGCATGCATATGTGAATTTTGAGAGACTAATGTGTGCTTTGTTGACTTGAAATTCTTACAAGAATGCAAGTCAAAGATTTCAGGTTTTAGTGACTTGATTTGAGAATTTTTTTTTTCCAGCTACACCTGTCATATGTGAATTTGTATTAAAGTTCCTTGGTTACATGTATCCTAAGAATTCAGGATTATATTTGTAATTTTTAGGTAATGGTAGCACACATTTGGTATGCATTGAAACATTGTTTTGGTTAGCTTCCTAAAAGTTGCTTTTTTATGCTCCTCTTGTTTTAGAAGCAATAGGCAATGCTTAATTATGAGGAAAAAAATTTGGAAATGGGAAATTTAGTGATAAACAAATTCTCAATTTTGATTTTTTTCTTTTAAAATTTCCCTTAGCTTCTCTCAGGTGAAGTGAAGGCTGTATATTTACCACGTATACTTTCAGTTTGTAACATTTGCTTCATGGAAAAATCATTTGATTTATGGACATCAAATGATTTTCTTTCATTTTCGATACTACATATGTTAACAAAATACTTATATTAGCCTTTATATATCTTAATTATTTTTCAGGACATTGAGGTTGGAAAGGCTGTACGCCCTCAACTAGCTATGAGAGTTAGTGATGCACATTCCGCATGGAAAAAGGTTCAGGTCTGCCTTGTTGTTTTTATCTTTTCTCCTCCTCCTCCTCTCTCTCTCTCTCTCTCTCTCTCTCTCTCTGAAGTATAATATTAGCATTTGCTTGAACAAGTAATTTCTTTAACCAAACTAAGGATTTAAGCATAATCTTTGCTCTCAGTATTTGGTGTCCCAGCTAGTGTATCAGTACCATATAGTGTTAACTTGAGATGTATATATATTTTTAATTAGCAGAAATTACAGGTTCATATTTGAATAAAGAGTTTAACTACATCTGTCACATATTCATACTTTGAACACCTAACTTAACTATTTGCTGCAAGGTAATTAGAATATTATACTTCATAATCTATTTTCTATTTTAACATAAAAATCAAGTAATAATGGTCTAACACCTATGTTAAGCATGCACTTACAGTTAGAGCTGGTCAGGGTTCCTGTTCAGAACAGGAACCTAACCAGTTTGGAATTGGACCCATGTGGAACTTAAACTCACTAGAACCATAACTGGTACCTGGAGGACTAGTTCTAGCTCTGATTCGGATAGGACTATGGCCACTCCTATTTTCAGCCCTTGCTTGTATAAAAATGGGCTAACAATACAGTGAAAACCAAAAATGAGGCTACAGCATTTGGAAAAGAAAATAAATGAGAAGGAAAAGACAAAAAGAATGACAAAGTGCACTGTGGAATAGGTTATTTCACCAATAAAATTAAACTCAACAGTAGCTACTGAATAGACGCAAGAAAAAAAAACCAAAATTTAACAAGTTTTGGTCAATTTTGTCCACATCCTCGGATACTACCAAAATAATATTTCACTATTTCAAATTCCTATTACAAAGTGAAATATTACAAGGAGAGGTGGAAACTATGTCTAACAAGAAATAGACAAGTGTTTGGGATATGTATGATAAAAGGGAGAGGGTTCCTTTTATAATTAAAAGAATCATCTTCACTTTCTCATTTCCACGATGTGCGACAGCCACACACCAACTGATCTCCACCTTGGTGAATTCCCATACCCACATCTTCCAAGTCCCTCACAATATAGCATCTTCAAATCTGCGTTGAATCGCTAACCTTCAGTTTTTTACAATATTGATCAAGTCTAAATAGTGTCTGAAGTTGACAGCTGTCACCACCTTTTTCATCATATCTATAGGATTTTCAATTGTCTTGGTCTTCTGGAGTAGTATGTGACCTTCCAGAAGCTTACCTACAAAGTGATGCAGAACATTGATGTACTTTTTCCTTGCATGATAAATTTGGTTCTTTGCTAAATGCATAGCAGTTTGCCTAGCACAATGCGTTTTATGTGCTTTTGTCAAACTCCCAATTCACTAAGCAACCTTTGAAGCCAAATTGCCCATTAACATCCTCCATAAATGCCATATTTTTGACTTAGTTGATTTGGAATATCCCTGTATAGGTCGCATAGGAGGATATATTGCTTCTTTCCTTATTGGTTCTTTTCTTGTTTAGAAGTTGATACTTGTGTATCCAGTTTTGCAGTTCGGAACCGAACTGCTCGAATGCTCACCCCTAGCCACATCTGCAAGTTGAGTTTTGGGATATGTCTTCCAAGTTTGGCAACAATTGAGATTGGTATTGAAGGTTTAATAACTAGCGCATCAAAATTAAAGATCATACCAAAAGTTTAGATCTTTGAAATCATTGGCTTGATATATTTATAGTACATGTAATGTTAACCAATTAACTTCAAGAAATCTATAATTGAAAGAAACAAAGAGCCAATGCAATGGAAAAGCTGTATTTCTAATGGACATGTATGCACATATATGTAAATGCGTGTGCACATATTCACATACTCAAATGCTTATATACTCATTTCAAACATTTTCTTATTTGTATTCCAAATCTATTTTTTTGAGTTACTAAGACAAGCATATGGAAGCTCAAAGATAAGTATTTATATTATTATCATTGGTATGCGTATACATGCAAAGGCATGCAACATAAATATATAGTGTCTATATTTCCTTGTTTTTCCTTAATATTTTCTTATGCTAAACAAGTTTGTTATGCTTTTACTTATTCGCGTAGCTTCATGGGAAGGAAGTAGTTGTTGAATGTAAACTTGATGGTGATCGGATACAAATACATAAGAATGGGGCAGAAGTACAATACTACTCAAGGTATGTATAGGTTGATTTCCTCAAAACTTTAATCTACTAATTTGAATCTAGTATTCTACTAGGTTCTGTCCAGCTTTAAAGGCACTTAAATTTTAATTTATCGAAATACTAAATACATTTTGTAGTAATTTTACAATTCATAATGAAGATATGTTTGTAAAATTTAAAAATGACAATTATTCTAATTTTTAAGAATTTTACTTTTGATTACTATTCCCTTTTACTTAATATATATTAAATCAATAAGTTCGATAATTTTTTTTTTAGAAGGATTAAAGAATTTGAATAAGAATATAATAGAGAAGAAAAAAAAAAAGACATTATGCAATTTTTTAAGGACATACTAGGCATTTTAAAATTTTTTAGGGATGTTTGTTATCTTATATAATTTGTTTATATTCTATTCGCCTCATGTTAAGTGTAAAAGGGTACAATAAAAATTTACATATATTCCCTAGGTATAAATAGAGTTATAATGATTGAATGAACATTCTTTATTCACACAAAAAAACATGGTATCGGAGCATATTGTTGACCTTTCTTCAGCTCATGCATAGTAAAGAAAGAAACCAATTAGAGAGAGAAAAACCTAGATGGGTAAACCCACTGTGGCTTCAAGAGGGAGAGGGACGTGTCATCGCCCATCACAGGTGAGAGGGCCTGCCAATCAGTCTGCCTGCAGATTCCGGCGACTGTCCGACGAGGCACGTGGTACCACACGCCGCCATAGGTTTATGCTGCTAGTCCTACTCACCGACGCATGGCAGCGTGTGACGCCATTTCCGGCCACCACTCGGGCAGCAGTTTGCTCTGTCAGACTCGCCCCAGTCTTGTGCCTTCACCTGGCATATTTTTCTGACTGGTTCTCACTTTTTTAGGGCTGTCTCTCATATTTTCTCATTGTTTTGGACTGTCTTCAGGTTGTTTTTTGGTTTCAGGCTTGATTTCCGTGTTTTTCTGGGTTTTTTTTGACAATGGGTGATGGTTCAGTGATCGTTGATACTAAGGTTGTCCCTTCACATGACAACCCTTTGTTGCAAATTAGCCTGGTAAAGCTTAATGGAACAAATTACCTTGCTTGGTCAAGGTCTTGCTTATTGTTTATCAAGGCTAGAGGGTTACAAGGGTATATTACTGGTTTTAAAGTCTCACCCGCACCTTTGAGTGACACTTATGATAGATGAGACTTCGAAAACTCATTAGTTATGTCTTAGCTAATTAATTCCATGGAGCTTAGGATTGCAAATGGGTATTTGATCATGGATACTGCAGCAAAATTTGGAAAACTGTGACTAAGACCTATTCTCAGCATGGAAATATTGCTCAAGTGTATGAGCTTCGCAACAAACTCCATGGCTTGAAGCAAGAGGAATTGATAGTTAACCAATACTATGCTGTTTTGAATGACCTATGGCAACAACTAGACTATTATTGAGATTTATCATCCCAGGTGGTGAGAAGAGGAAGTGGGAATAATTCCTATCTGTACCTTAACAATTTATGAACCTTGTTAATATTGATGAAGAAATACAAAATCCAGATGAATCACAACCAAGAGAGGATCATCAGGTTCAAAAGAAAAGATAGACTAGATGGGCCAGATTTAAAGAGATATAATAGAGGGGAGAAAACTAGTGCCATTGTGCACGATTCCATTGCTCAACCGTCTTCCTTGCAATCAGGTTCGGAAAATCAATGTGGTGAGCTTCCTATAACTCCCACTCTTCCTAGTTCTAGTACAACTCCTATAATACATAGTGTTGATTCTGATCCTATTGCTAATCCTGTTACTGATGACACCAATATTCCTACTGCTCTCAGGAAAGGTGTGAGATCATGTACTAAACATCCTATCTCTCAATTTGTTTCCTATGATTCTTTGTCTTCTTCCTATAGAGCCTTTGCCTTGTTTGTTTCTTCTGTTTCTATTCTACAGAATTGGCAAGCAGTGTTTCTATTCTACAGAATTCTCGTGTTACTTGGTTATTTTTAATGAAAAATTGTTTTGAGATATTCTCTATTTTCTGTTCCTTTTGTGCTAAGATTAAAAATCAATTTAATACCTCTGTTCACACATTGCAAAGTGAAAATGCTAAAGAATATCTATCTAGTCCCTTCCAATCTTATATGTCATAGAATGGTATCTTCATCAACCATCTTGTGTTGATACTCCTTCTCAAAATGGGGTTGCAGAAAGAAAAAATCGACATCTTCTTGAGGTTGTTAGGGCACTCCTATTTCAAATGAAGGTCCCTTGTTAGGGCACTCCTATTTCAAATGAAGTCCCTAAAAATTTTGGGCGGAATGGATGCTGTCTCTACTGCATGTTTTTTGATTAATCGCATGCCTTCTTTTGTGCTTAGTGGTGCAATTCCTTATAGTGTCTTGTTTCCTTCTAAACTTTTATTCCCTATTGAACCTCGTATTTTTGGTTCTACTTGTTTTGTTCGTGATGTTCGTCCTCAGGTTTCCAAATTAGATCCAAAATCCATTCGTTGTATTTTCCTTGGGTATTCTCGGCATCAAAAGGGATAACGTTGTTTCTCTCCCGATCTTGACCGTTATCTTATTTCTGTCGATGTCACATTTTTTGAGAATACTCCATTTTTTCCTTCTCCTATATATAACTCCTATATATAAGAGTGAGGGGGAGGATGATGAGTTTTTAGTCTACGCTATCCAACAATTTCCTACCACTCCTGCTCCTGTTCTTGTTCCTGCTCCTGTTCTTGTTCCTACTCCTGTTCTTGTTCCTGTTCCTGAACTTGCACTGCTCCTGCTACAGCGTCTGCTCCTCCTATTCCCCCCGCTGCACCAGCATCTGTTCGCCCTCGTTTTGAACAGGTTTATTCCAGGAGACCAGGAACTCTTGACTCACTTCCCCTATCTACCGCTTCAACAGAAGGTCCGGATCCCTCCACTCAACCTGAGCTTGTGCCATCCACTGCTCCGTCAGACCTTGACCTTCCCATTGCTCTTCGAAAAGGTAAACGCACGTGTACCTATCCTATTTCTTCTTTTGTTAGTTATGTTATGATCATCTTTCTCCTTCATCTCGTTGTTTTGTAAGTAACCTAGACTCTGTCTCTATCCCTAAAGTCTCTATCCCTAAAACTGTTGTCCAAGCTTTGTCCCATCCTGGTTGGTGTGCAGCAATGCAAGAGGAGATGGCTGCCTTAGATACTAATGGTACTTGGGATCTTGTGCCTCTCCTGGCAGGTAAGAAAGCTATTGGTTGTAAATGGGTTTCACAGTTAAAATGAATCTTGATGGATCTGTTGCCCGTCTCAAGGCTCGATTAGTTGCTAAGGGCTATTCTTAGATTTATGGCCTTGATTACTCTGATTTCTCCTGGGCCAAATTGTCTTCTGTTCGTTTGTTTATTCTTTAGCAGCTTACTTTTGACTGGGCCTTTACATCAGCTGGATGTTAAGAATGCCTTTCTCATGGGATTCTTCAGGAGGAAGTTTTACATGGCAAGCAACCACCAGGCTTTTGTTGCTAATGGGGAGTTGGGTTAAAGTGTTGTAAACTTCGAAAAATCTCTTCTTATGGCGAGCTTGGTTTGGTAGATTTTGTAATGTCAATTTGGCATGCAGAAGAGTATTTCTGATCATTTTGTATTTTTCAGAAGTACTAACACTGGTTTGATTCTACTTGTGGTTTATGTTGATGACATTGTTATTACAAGGAGTGATTCTGCATTGTTATTATAGGGAGTGATTCTGCAGGCATTACATCACTCAAGTCATTCCTCCAGACTCAGTTCCAGAAAAAAGACTTAGGATTGTTGAAGTATTTTTTGGGTATAGAAGTATCTAGGTGTAAGAGAGGCATCTTCTTATCTCAAAGGAAGTATGTCCTTGACTTACTTAAAGGAAAACTGGGAAAGTTTTGTGCCAAGCATGCAGTACTCTGATGACTCCTAATTTGCAACTTTCAATTGGTGTAAGCCTGAATTATCTTACGGTAACACATTTCAGATATTGCTTACTCTGTAAGCCGTCTAAGCCAGTTTATGTCTTTCTCCTACTGTTATCATTGGGAAGCTTTAGGAACAAATTTGTGCTACTTGAAAGGTAATCTAGGTTGTGCCTCCTTTACAGTAATCATGGTCATTGCGACATGAGTTGTTTTTCGGTGCGGAATTGGCAGGTTCGAAGCGTTTGATAGAAGATCCAACGTTCAGATATTGTGTCTTGGGGTGGAAACTTTAATATCGTGGAGGAGGCAAGATACCAAAAATGTAGTCTCACGATCGAGTGCCTGATCAAATATCAAGCTATGCGCAATCTACTTGTGAGAACAATTTTTGGATTCGTCAATTGTCTAGAGGAAATTTGCTTCAAGTCGTCCTTGCCTCCTTGCCTGCAAAGTTACGGTGTGATAATCAAGCTGCTCTTCACATTGCATCAAATCTAGTATTCCATGAACGAACAAAACATATCGAGATTGATTTTCATTTCATCCGGAAAAAGATACAACAAGGTGTATCTCTACAGGGCATGTTAAAACAAGTGAAATCTTTACAAAAGCTCTAAATGGACCTCGGGTGGATTATCTTTGTAACAAGTTGGGCATGATTAACATCTATGCTCTAACTTGAGGGAGAGTGTTAAGGATTAGTTGTAAATAGAACTCTATTAGGAGTTAGATTCCTAATAGGTTTATAATATCTTGTATGTGTGTATATATATGTTTTAATGTATCACTTGTAGTTGTATAATTTGAATGTGACCCTATTGATGAAAACTAAATACACAATAAGTTTTCCACAAATATTCTATGAGTAATAAATAAATATGAACATTAGTTACATGGAATGTTTTGTATGTTAGGTGTAGTTAGAAGCATTATTAATGTCATGAATAGAAAATGTTCCCTTTATATAAAAGTTATTAATAATATTATTATTGATTATTGTTCAATGTTTGCAATTCTTTAAGAGAAGCTCCAACTTGAGGGGGAGTGTTAAGGACTCGTTGTAAATAGAGTTCTGTTAGGAGTTAGATTCCTAATAGGTTTATAGTATCTTGTATATGTATATTTATGTGACCCTATTGATGAAAATAATACAACAATAATTTTCCACAATATTCTATAGTAATAAATAAATATGACATTATAATGATTTTTGTATGTTAGGTATTAAAAGCTTATATGTCATGAATAGAATATGTTCCCTTATATATAATAATAATAATATTATTATTATTATTTTCAATTTTGCAATTCTTTAAGAATGTAATAAACATTTTAAAATTTTATTAAGAATGTTTAGGAATCAATAATAATATATAATTAATTTGGGATTGAGGCTTAGTTATTACTATTGTAATTAGAAAATAAATAATTATATATATGAATCATGAAATACTCATTATATGATAACAAAACGACGAAAACTCCAAAAATATCCCCAATTCAATATTATGTCATTAAAAAGAAAATTAAAATATAGTGAGTAGTACTGAAATTGTAAGAGGAAACTTTATTTTTGATAATGGACAAACATGCATGAATGTGTAATATTGTATTTTATCTGCAAAAATGTGTTTTCAATGGAAATTTATAAAAAGTGGCTAGCTTTGTTGAAAGTCCAAAAATACCCTAAAAGTACTTAAAATAACAAAATAAAAACAATGAAAAAATTAAATAATAATTAGGCTCCGTTTGTTTTTGGGAATAATAGAGCTTTGAAAATTATTTTTGTTAGAAAATATTTTCTAAACTACTCATTTTCTGTTGTTTGCTTTTAATATTGAAAATTAAAAATTAATTAAAAAGATATTAAAATTTTTAATTTAAGACCTTAAAAATATTTAGAATTATAGGAATTTCATAGTTTTTACAAAATTATTGTTAAATGTGAGGAAGAAATGCGTAAAAATGATAGATTATGGTAGTGGCCTACTGTGGTCAGTGATTGATGGTAGTCGGTTGTGATTGAAGGTGATCGATAATGGTGACTAATCGGTCATCATAGGACTAATAAACTTATAGTTGAAAAATGTTTTCCTCTTTTGAAATGGAGAAATTATTTTCCTTTAAAATGGCTTGATAGGAACAATATTTTTTGGTGACCGATTTCTTGAGCATCCCAAACATCAAAAGATTAGGAAACTTTCTCTAGGTAAGTTAGTTTTCTGAAACAAATGGAGCCTTAAAGTCTCTGGGGAAATTAATAATTTTTAAGTAAACTTGATAACAATTTTGGAATTCTGCAAAATCCTTAAAATGACAAAAAAAAAACACAATGAACAAAGCGGATGAGTATATTGGCATTGATATTGTGGTTCATTGTGGAATAGTATGGAAAGGAACAGTCCTAGGAAAAGAAAGGAAACAAACAGTTCTAGAAAGGAGGACTTTGTTACAGTGAAAATAGAGAGAGTTCTTCAGGAAAAGGAAAATTATAATAATAACTAAGTTGTGGCAAGAGGCAGTTTGGTCAACATCACCCAAAAATAACAATCTTCTTCTATATGAAATTATGGAGCTCTGGTTACAGTTAACTTAGTAATTCCTAAAGCTCAATTACTTAGAGAATCGGTGACTGCTTTTATGCTTAAGATTTATTTGCTTCATCGATACCATCATTTTTGCAGGAATTTTCTTAATCACTTTGAATATGGACATGGAATGTCAAACATCATTACTCAAAATGTTGTGGCTGATAGGTGAGTCTCCATTAGAAGTTTTCGTATTCCAGTCTATATCATTTCTTCTGGCTTTTCATTATTCTGCTTTTGTGTCTTTCAATACACACATTGGACAGACTGACTGACATAGTTCCAGTCTGGTTGTTGCCCTCTTTTTTCCCCTATTAAAATTCAAACCTTGATTAATGTTTGATTTGAAGCTGTTTTATATTATGCATAACTACTTATTGGTAGTGTATGGCCAGAGAAGCCTGAGGAGAATACATTTGATTTCTTATCTTGTGAATTGGATCAATGCTTTAGAATTTCTGGTCTAGTAATTTTTTTTGTCACTGATGTCTCATAGGTGTATACTCGACGGTGAAATGTTGGTTTGGGATTCCTCTTTGAATCGGTTTGCTGAATTTGGTTCAAATCAGGAAATAGGTAATTTGATATTTTAATTTTAAAGTTTACCCTTTTCCCTTTTGTTTTTGGCTTCTTATAATAATTTTTCCTTGTTTTTCTTTCTTTCTGCATGATTACTTAAGTGCTGCATATTATTCATTTGCAGCGAAGGCAGCGAAAGATGGACTTGACAGTGATAGACAGGTTTTTTTTTATTTTTTTTATTTTTAAATTATTTCATTATGTTAGGAGTACTGTTTGAAAGTTTAATTCATATGTTCTTCTGGTGCAGTTGTGCTGTATCCTATGTCCTAGTCAATTTAAAGTTGATGTTGGGTCGAGCTTAGCAAGTGCTTTGAGTTGCAATTTACAAAAATAATATTCAATTCATCCTCAGAATCAAACCAGAGAAGGATTCTATTCTCCTTGACTTGATCCCCTAGATGTTGCTTTTGACATCCTTTATGTTGGAGATACTAGTGTCATTCACCAAAGCTTAAGGGAAAGACATGATCTTCTCCGAAAATTTGTGAAGCCTTTGAAGGGCCGTTTAGAGATTCTAGTACCTGATGGGGGTCTCAATAATCGACGTCTTCCTGGTAAATTTTTTATCATACATGAAAATTGTGCAGTTGATTCGGTTTGTTTTTACCAACTAGTTTTAGTTGGTCCCTTGATATTCTTATAATGCTGTGATGCATTGTCCAACACGAAATTCTGTTATCAGAATAGTGAGCCTCTAGAATGTGCTTTTGCCATATTAGACAACTGAGGGTCAATTTGATTCTGATTGGTTGGATTATTTTTGAACCCAAACCCATTAGTTTAGTTTGACTTGCTTATTTGCTTGGATTAGTTTAGATTAGAGTCGTAGTACTTTATCTCATATTTGAGTTCATATATTTAGAATTTCCATCATATGCAGTAGCCGAACATTGATTTACCCCCATACTACTTATAGTGAAATTGAGAAAAAGTATTTGAGGAAGTTGAAAATCTTACAAATTTAGAATTTTTCTTTTTTTATTGTTGAATTTTTATTTATTATACTAGTATGAAGCATTTTTGGGTGGTGTAAACTATCAAGTCAAGACAAATGTATGCTTAAGGAAGATGGGAAAATGCCAGGCTCATGTCTTTGGTGAGTTTTGGCTCATTGATACTTGTTGGGAATGTATGGTTTATATGGGGCTTTCAGCTCATTAGAAAATCTGTTCTACTAGTTTTGGTTCAAATAAATTAATATATTGATTTTTATTGCGACAAATGTTCTTAATTATGAATAATGCTTGTCTTTGGAAATTCAGCAATCTGCCCATGCTAATTATGCAGGGGAACCTCCTTGTTCGCTTATTGCTTATAACATGAATGATGTTGAGAGATTCTTTGAGGAGACTGTTAAAAATAGGTCAGTGTTCTTTGTTGTTTTAATTTGATGGCCAAATCTGTGGAAACTGAATTAACCTTTTGTAATTTTGGGATCTTTTTATCTTATCTTTCTGCAGTACTTACCCTCCATAGATAGTGATGTGCTAATTTGTTTTCTCTGGTCTCTAATTTGCTTTTATCTATGGAATCAAAGTAACATTTCATCATCTTTTTGTGCTTGCATTATGCAATACCGAACTTCCAGAGATAGTAAGCCTGTAATTTGCTGCCATCTCTTTTCTATGCACATTATTTGCTCTTAATCTGTAGAGTTTTTAGTCTTTCATTATTGCAGGATATTTTTGTCTTGTTTTTCTGCAATACTGATCTTCCTGAGGCAGTACTGTTATGCAATCTGTTTATTTGAGCTCTCCTAATTTGCCTTTTGTTTTTATGACATGTTGCCATCTGATCATGATCATGGTCCTTGCTCTTTTTGTTATTATTATTATTCTTATGTTTATTTCAATGGAGAGGCTGCAGGAAGGGTTTGTCTGTGTGTGCACATGCTAAGTTTGTCACTGCATTAATAATGTTTTGATGTTTCCATTTGAGCACCAATTGCCTCACATGCGTAAGTTCAATGTACATCCGCATCATTATAATCTTCATCATAGTCATCTGATCCATTTTAGTTTTTATCTGTTCTTGGGTTTGTATGACATACTATGTCGTTGGCAAATGTTTCTTATTCTTACTGTCAGATATATGAGCTCGTTATTTTTCTTTATTATTATAGAAGTTGTGTGATCCATAATCTTATTTGCAATCATACATTGTTCTTCTAGAGATGAAGGGATCATATTAAAAGACCTTGGCTCAAAATGGGAACCAGGTGATCGAAGTGGGAAATGGCTGAAATTGAAGCCGGAGTACATACAGGCTGCTTCTGATTTGGATGTTCTTATTTTAGGTTTGTACTTTATCTTACTTGTGGTTTCTTTTAAATTAATTTGTTTATTTGTTTTTCATTTTTGTGTCCTTGGTTGTAGGAGGATATTATGGTTCTGGGCGTCATGGAGGAGAGGTTTGGTTCCTTTCCTTGTTTTTTTAATTTGTTTCTCCGAAGGAAATCAAATGAGATAGTAAAGGTCTTGCGCTTGCCATCTTGGTAATTAAAAGTTAGGTGCTGTAATATAGCACCATTTCCTATTTTCCTTCCTTGAACTTGATCTGTAAGGACTAATTGATTTTGGTCTTAATTTCTAGGTTCAGAAAATGAAATGTGAATTTCCTCATATTGCCTTTTTAAAATTAATCCTTAACAAATTGTAGGTGGCTCAATTCTTGGTTGGTCTGGCAGAGCGCCCTGCTGCAGATACATACCCCAGGCGGTGAGCATTTACGAACTGTTGACAATTTTAGACAAATGAGCTGCCTCCTTTCTTGTCAACTCAATGTTGAATCCAAAATAATGATAATTATAAACTCTATGTTGCAATTTATATGGTTATCAAATAATTATGTAGGTTTAGCTATACATGTCAGAACAAGCAAACTTCTTGGAATAGTTGAGCTCTGTTTCTGGCATTATAAGTGAGAATTTTCATTAGAAAGTATATTTTGGTTTAACACTTTGATATGTAAGGGGCAAAGGAATTGGGGGACTAATGCTGTCACCTTTTTTGTAGATTCATCTCCTTTTGCAGAGTGGGCACTGGACTATCTGATGACGAGCTAGCTGCTGTTGTAACCAAACTGAAGCCTTATTTTAGGTATGGAATGTTGCACTGGGGTTATAACAGTTCATGATGAAAAATTCCCAACTTCAGACACATTGACAATTGCCACATACTTTAAAATGGTTAATTATATTCTATACTTAATTCATTTATTATTATTGTCAAAGCTTGAAGACCAGGTGAAAGTTTGACGCTTAAGTGATACTTTTTTCTTAGGCATTACCATTAGTCTTTGGCGAAACATTGTGGAAAATTTCTCTTTTTTTTTTTTTTACATCTTTAAAATGGTTACTTATATTCATATACTGTAATTCATTATGTATTGATTGTCCAAAGCTTTGAGAGACGCAGGTTGAAAGTTTGACGCTTAGAGTGATACTGTTTGTTTCCTTAGGCATTTAAGCCATTAGTTCTTTGGCGAAAACAATTGTGGAAAATTCTCTTTTTTTTTTTTTTTGGGGGGGGGCGGGGGGTGGGGGGTGGGGGGGGGGGGGGGTGGTTTGGTTGGTGGTCGAGGAGGTGTTAGGCATAGATAAAATTGAAAATGATACATGACGTATAGGACACAATTAATGCATTTCCAAAGTAGTTAACCATTGTATATTTTAGAGATCTTGTGGCAATTGCATTAGTTACAGATTGTCTACAGTTAACTACTTTGGAAATGCATGAAGAATTGGTAGGTGAAAAGAATGAAAAAAGGCCTAACTACAAAAGAAATGCTCAAAATTTGACACCTTCATGCAATTCTATGTTGAACTTTTAGTTTTGGCAATACTTTGAAGCAACTTTTTAATTTTATAGTTCTATCATCAATTGGAATTCAGGTGAATTAAGATTGGATTTGGTAACATTTAGGTCTGCATTTATTTATTTTATCGTGCATCATGTGGGAAAACTAATATAATAAAATGCAAAACTGTTAGCTCGATAAAATGAATTAACAAACAATGATGAATCTAGGTCCATTGAGTCAGCAAATTGAGGTTTAATTTCGCTTGAATTTGAATTGGCGATAGAGTTGCAAAATTTAATGCTACAAAAAATTATCAAAATTTAAAGTTCGTTGTAGGATTACAAAAGACACTGAAGTTTAAGTTTGACTGCTTGTGATCATTTGCCATATGGTCATGGACCTTAAATCTGTCCAATTGCTTTGACCAAACTAAGGTTTGTGATTAGACAATCATTTGAGTAACCCATTTTATGTTCTATGAAATATAAGAGAAATAAAGAAAAGGCTAAAAGGAAATTAAAAAAAAAGAAACAAGTATAGTCAGGCTCTATAGCAGTTATATGCAGTTGGCAAGATGTAATTGTCTCTGTGACCTAAGAAACATTCCATCATTTTGCATAACTATTCTATGTTTTGGGATTTTTCCATATTTTTTACAACAGATCCACACTTGAGATTGTCTGGATATCTGCATATATTTGTGGCTTGTTCTTTTCTTTCAGGAAATATGAATACCCAAAGAAGTCACCACCAAGTTTTTATCAAGTAACAAATAATTCAAAAGAGAGGCCAGATGTGTGGATTGAGAGCCCTGAGAAGTAAATTTTCTCCATTCATTTTAAACCATTTGGGGAAAGAAAAATAATGTTTCTTAAGATGAATATTTACTTATTTTTTTCTCCTTCCTTTCTTGCAGATCGATTATACTTTCTATCACAAGTGATATTCGGACTATAAGCTCTGAGGTTTCTATCTGAAACAATATGATATTTGTTCTTTTCTTTAGTAAGTTTTAAAAAAGGGAGATATACAAGATGTGCATGGCCTTCCCCTTGCATTAGAAAGAAAACTATTTTCATGTCCTAAACCTGCAACTATCACGTCATAATAGAGTAACTCCATTGTTGCACACTGTGCATATTGCACACGTGTGTGTGCATTGCAGTTAAATGTTCTCTCTTGAAAGATTTGCTTTATTTATGCAGATGTCTGATTTAAGCTCTGTTCTTCTAGGTATTTGCTGCACCATATAGCTTGAGATTCCCACGCATTGACAGAGTGAGATATGACAAGCCTTGGTACGAGTGCCTTGATGTTCAGTGTAAGAATATTGATCATATTCATACTTTAATCTTGCATCTATCACTATGTTGTATTTGGTAAATTGTAGATTTCTATCTGACTTGGGCTATTTGTCGTCCTTTAATCAGTAGTTTTGTCTTTTTGCAGCATTTGTTGAATTGGTACATTCTAGCAATGGTACCACACAGAAGGGAAAAGATTCTGGAGGCTTGCAAGATAGAAAACAAACAAGCGTAAAATCCTCCAAAAAGGGAGGAAGAAAGAATGCATCTGTTGTTCCATAAGTTTTAAAAAAGGGAGATATACAAGATGTGCATGGCCTTCCCCTTGCATTAGAAAGAAAACTATTTTCATGTCCTAAACCTGCAACTATCACGTCATAATAGAGTAACTCCATTGTTGCACACTGTGCATATTGCACACGTGTGTGTGCATTGCAGTTAAATGTTCTCTCTTGAAAGATTTGCTTTATTTATGCAGATGTCTGATTTAAGCTCTGTTCTTCTAGGTATTTGCTGCACCATATAGCTTGAGATTCCCACGCATTGACAGAGTGAGATATGACAAGCCTTGGTACGAGTGCCTTGATGTTCAGTGTAAGAATATTGATCATATTCATACTTTAATCTTGCATCTATCACTATGTTGTATTTGGTAAATTGTAGATTTCTATCTGACTTGGGCTATTTGTCGTCCTTTAATCAGTAGTTTTGTCTTTTTGCAGCATTTGTTGAATTGGTACATTCTAGCAATGGTACCACACAGAAGGGAAAAGATTCTGGAGGCTTGCAAGATAGAAAACAAACAAGCGTAAAATCCTCCAAAAAGGGAGGAAGAAAGAATGCATCTGTTGTTCCATCTCATTTTATTGAGACTGATGTCTCCGATGTTAGGGAGGAAACCTTGATATTTTCAAAAATGATGTTTTGTATCCTTTATCTGGTTCACCAAGTTGATTCCATCATTTCCCCGCCTCACATGGCTGACCACCTATACTATTTTAAATTCTACATTGCTTACTAGCCTTCACACCTTCCTGCACTCTTCTCACTGTGGTTATGGTTTCAGCTTAAAGATCATTACGTTTTTCCTCTTAAATCAGATAATTGGTTCCTATAAGAATTACATCCTATAAGAATTACATAATTTCTAGTAGAAGGCTGGTTTATCTTCTCTATGAAGTTATGCTGTTTGTAAAAGATAATAGTACCACACCCTCTATGGATTAATGCATGGGTTCCAAGTTATACAAGTGCATTTTCTGTTCAGTAGTTTGTCATTTTCCCTTTGGTAGCAAAATCTGTTTTATCGTTTCAAAGTTCTGACTAATTACTTGAACTCATTCTAATTTGAACCAATATTTGTGAGTTTTGGAAGTGATGTTTCTATGACTTTGAACGCAGTACTATCAAAATTTTCAGTTCTTCTTACTTGGTTAGATCATTGATTTCCTGAGCAAGTACAGACTTTGTTAATGTGCCTCCAACTCACTCTCTGGAGTCCTTACACAAAATGGTCATCGAGAATGGGGGAACATTTTCAATGAATTTAAATAAATCAGTTACCCACTGTATTGCAGCTGAAAACAAGGGTCTCTCTCTTTCTTAGTGCAATTGAATCACCACTTTTATTCTGGAAACAGTATGATTAAAAAAGAATTTCTTTCTCAGGGATTAAATATCAGGCAGCAAAGCTTCATGGAGATGTTATTCATTGCTCATGGGTATTGGATTGTTGCTCACAAAAAAAGCTCCTCCCGTTACAGCCAAAGTTAGTTTTACATTCATTTAATTTGTTGCTTATTTTGAAAAAGCTCTCTCATACACATGCACAAAAATACATTGATATGGTATAAAAGGCTTTTGACCTAGTATCTTTTGAAGGTACTTCCTCTTCCTTTCTGAAGCTTCAAAGAAGAAGTTACAGGAAGAAATTGATGAATTTTCTGATTCTTACTACTGGGACATTGACCTTGCAGACATCAAACAGGTATATTTATGATCATTTATTTGTTGCCCACACATTTGAATGTTTGTTGTATTAACTGCCGTATCAATACAAAACCTGAAAGGTAAGATAAATATCTAAACATAGGGTTACAGCTCTGGTAACTGAATTGCGAAACTTTCTGAACTAATGTAAATGTTTGTTTCACTAATTTTTTGGACTGAACTGGATAACAAAATTAACTGACATTTTTTCAGTTAACCGGTGGTTTCAGTTCAGTCTGCCAGTTTATTGTCGTCATTTTTCAGCCAAATGACACCTTTTGAATTTTCTGTTCACCTCTTACTGTGTTAAAGCATGTCAGAGTCAAGCACAGCTAGCACTCAAATCATTCAGAGACAAAATTAAACCACAAATGTCCAACTAGGCTATAAATGAATGGAGGAGGTGAATGCATCTGAGGAAAAAAATGATTGAAAAGTAAGCTATTTTGAGAAAGATGGAGAGGTGAAAGAGTGAGAGATATGATCTTTCTCAACCAAACAATAGTCCAAATAGAAGAGAGACAAAAAACTTAACTTGATTAAGCCTTAATCCTAAATAAGTTGGAACTGGCTATGAGAATTTTTGCTTTCATTCTAACAGATCAAAAATACACCTTCAGAAAGATCTACGGGTTCTTTTTTTTTTTTTTTTGAATCTACGGGTTCTTTTTTTTTTTTTTTGTCCAAGTTTTTCTGGCATGTTTATCCTAGATCTGTCCCTTGTTTCGTTTATCTCCACGGGTTTTTTTTTTTTTTTTTGTCCAGTTTTTCTCTGCATGTTATCCTAGATCTGTCCCTTGCTTTCTTATCTCCAACAACTTCAATTGGTCAACCTTCTGTAACATGTATTGGTTAGCTGATAGTATGGATGTCCAAACTATCTCATGGATTTTTATATCTTCTTTTACTTGTAGAAAATTTCATTGTATGATGTGTAGCTTGATGCCTAGGTGATGAAATATGGTGATTTGCAACCCTGACACAATACACCACCATCATACAAGTGATTGTGTTTAAGCTCTATTGTGTCAGGGACTGTAAGTGCCAAGTGCTTAGGTTCTTAAATCTTGTGCCTCACATAGAACTTAAAAGGGTAGGTGTTTGATAAACATAAAATAAATTTTCTACTAGGATATGTAAAAGGAGGTCATTTTTAGATGCAGAACAGTAATATAGATTAGACTCTAAGCTATAGCAGGGTCTTGACTGCTAGGAGTCTAATCAACATTAATTTCCTGGCGTCGAAATGATCAGTTTGGTTGACCAATATCCTAGGTCTAGCTTTTAGTTTTTTACTCAGTTTTTTGAATTTGTTATCATCCTTGGAAGTGTCCAAGCAACAACATCAAATGCTTTAAAGACATTTCTGTATTTAGTATTGAAACTGCCAACTGATATTCACAGCAAATTTAATGGAGCAACTAAATTAAATTTACTTGCTTCATTGTTTCCAGCTTTTAGAGAACATAAATGCTTCGGAAGATGCCAATAGAATTGAGTATTATAAAAGAAAGTATTGTCCAAAGGATAAATGGTCTCTCTTTTACGGCTGCTCTGTGTACTTCTACCTTCCAACACAGTTTTTGTAAGGTCTTCTGACTATCATGGTTCCATATTAATTTTCTATATTTATTAGCCTTTGGGATAGATTAACTTTATGCGGTTTATGAATAAATATTAGCTCAGATGTTGTTTGCCTCCTTTCTTGAACATTTAATCTTTTGAAGAACACCTGATTGGGAGACCTTGTTGGGACTTAAATCGAGGAGGTTGAAGCTTGAAGTTCTCATGGGTGGTGGCTATGTCAGCAATAATCTTGCAAATGCTACCCATATGTTGGTCTTGACAGTGCCAGGAATATCCAACATTGATTTTGATGCTCTTACAAAGAGGTACTCCAAGATCATGTTAGGTTTTGCTGCATAATCAATTTAAATTTTTCTTCTCCCTTTTTAGGCAATGTTGTAAAAAAATATGATGATATCCGACTTCTGAGTTTATGATACTTTAGCAGGTTAAAATACCTTTTTTTTTTTTTTTGGTTTTCTTGCTTTATTTATTTTCCTTTTCAGAGGTATTTTATTCTTTGAACCGTGTAAAACTAATTTTTTTTCTTTTTTAAGCTTATTATAGCTATTCTTACTATTAAATATTAAATAAGAGTAAATATCTTATTTTAAGTGATTCTTAATTTTCCTTCTATTTATGTAGTTTTACAGGTAAAGACAAATATTTCCTCTTGAATAAGAGGTTGTCTGTGATTGGATATCAGTGGTTGGAGGACTCCTTGGAAAAACAGAAAAAACTGGAAGAGGAGACATACAGCTTGAAGCCCTCTGGTTTGCAAGAGTTGAATATTGAAAAGTGGTTAGTGCACATGTGCTTTAAGTTTAGGGTGTTATGCATATGCTGCATATTTTAAGCATTTGAAATGGCTAATGATGCATCTTATTGCATCTGAGAATGCACATTACTGATATCAAATAACTATTGTTTGCATTTTATTGACAGCCATGATACATAAGTTAATAGGATGATATAGTGACATTAAATTTTTAGATATGCAACACGTCTTTGCGTGCATCTTATTGTATATGTATATTTAAGTGTCTCGTCATAATGTACTTCTGCTATTTGATATAAAGCCAAGAAGCAGCTGCAGCTATATATATATAGCTGCAAGCTTATAAGTATATATATATATATTATATATTATATATATTAGTATGCGCATCTTGAACACAATGTATATCTTGCAAGTAGTTAAATGTCCTTGCTTAATTTTCTTGTGATTTTCTTTCTTATGTGCATTCTATCCTAACCTGGCTTTAAAAGAAAAAGAAAAAAAAAAAAAAAATTAGTGGGCAACTTCTTAGTGTCCAGGTTTAAAAAAAAAAAAAAAAAAAAATTAGTGCAACTTCTTAGTGTCCAGTGTCCAACATTACCTGCGTCCTTAGTTTTTATGATATGGGTGATTTGTTTCTGATTTTCAATTCTGGAAGTTGTCATTGTTACGAGATGTAGCCCGCCAAACCATTGTTGTGTAGTCTGATGGTCTTATCAGGAAATACAACCGGTACATTCTAAAATAACTCTTGTCTGGACATCTTTACCCTTGGCCATGAACCTCCTTGGGACTAGATCCGTCTTGTATCCGTGATACTAATAGGAAGTGAAATATTATGGCAAGGAAAAGTTTGATGTTATTATCGTCAATTCCCTTCATTTTGAGAATTTCTGTGATTACATGGATTATTCTTACTTGAACAAATACCTCGACAATTCCCACTTGTTAATACAAGTACAAACATCAAAAAAATTTCTATTCCCTCTTCAACTTCAAACAGGAATACCACTATAGGAACAACCTTACTATTCCATAGGATACTTATGCTTAAGTATAGGAAGCGGAAGTCCAAGCCCAAGTGGAGACTGAATCTCTTCTCAAACTGCCCTGTGGAAATCTTTGCGTCAGAACAAATGGTTTCCACTTTCCAGTGCCTTTGGTTAATATTAATTTTTCACCTTCTCCTCCCTCCCCGAACTCTAGTGCCAGATATGGAAACTAAAGTATGCTGCAAATTACTGTATATTGTTCTTCCTCTCTCTTTCTCTGCTAGCATCTATTCTAAATTTGTTGCCTATGAATTGGCATCATGTGTTTCCTGGCTAGTGACATTTGTTGGATTGGCAACTTGTTGCATGCGTTGGTGGCAATATATAGCAATCACGAGTCCAAGTCTTTTTGGGTAACTTGAATCATCTGCTCAGCCCAAGTGGCTGATATGGAAACCGAATTAGCATATTACCACACAATAGCATACGTTCTACTCTCTCTTGCTAGACTAGTATTTGTTCTAAATGTGTTGCCTATTAACTGGCGACTGTTACTAAATGAATCTGCCAAATTGGTTACGTATTACAGCATCAAGTATAAGCTAGATTTTGGTAGGATAGTGAACTTTGAATTTGGTTGGAATAATTATCACTCAGAATTTTTTTTTCATCAAAATAGTGCTGGTTATGACTCACGCTACTAAAGATTGAAAATTTGCTTTTGCTTATAAGTGACCATCTTTGATAATGACTATATCTGAACTATACACATCCTGTGATCAAAATTTATTCTATTTCAGGACTTAACACTTTTATTCTGTTCTCTTCCTTGCCCAGCAATTATGATCTGGATAACGACCAGAAACTTCCATCTTTTCCTGGCTGCCAAACAGAAGAGCAAGGCAGAACTTCCTTTGAACATGCTAGTATATCAGCCTCGCCCAAGAGAGATGTGAAACGGAAAAGAGGGGGACTTGCTGGCAGGAGTGTGAAGAAAGGAAAAGCAGGCATTAGCAGAGCTCGAAAAACACAGACACGCGTTGGAAAGCCTGCTAAAATATGTGAATATGAATCAGATGAAAACAATTCATCTGATGATGAAACAAAAGGAGAGATCAAAATGAGCAAAAATGCAGAGATTAGCAAGAAAAGTTCAGAAATCAAAGAGAGTAAAACAGAAGAGTCAGAATCATCACACATACACATGAGTGCTGAGAACGAAGTTACTGAAAGGAGAGAGGATCAATCTTCTGATGTTGAAATCTGTGAAGGTCAAAGAGACGAGTGGTTCGATAAAACTCCTAATATTGCAAAGGGTGAAGGGCAATATGGGAAGGAGAAAGAGAACTCTGAGAAACTTGAAGTTATGGTTGATCCAGTTCATGCCATGTTATTGGACATGATTCCTGGTCTTGGAATGAAGAAAATGGAAAAACCAAAACCATTTCCTGATAATGAAAGGCCAGCTATAGATCCTACTGCACCGCCTGCAAAGAAAAAGAAAGTCAGCTACAAGGATATTGCTGGTGAACTGCTCAAGGATTGATGAGAATCTTGTAATGTTTATCGGGTTGTAAAAAGTCAGATTTGACCTTTTGAATCAATTATAAAATGATTAAAAAAATCCGATTTCATTTTTTAGCCCAATTTAATCCTTGAATTTGTTTTGATTTTTATAAATTTAACATAATTGATCTTTTTTTCCCTTTGTATTACACTAAGAATGCTAAGATTAAATTTTTCCAACACTTTGTGAATATCAATTTAAAATTCATAAAAAATATTATTTCTGTAATATAATAAATTTATAAACATGCATTATAATTTTAATTTATTCAACATGAATTATAATTTAATTTATTTAATATGAAAAATACATAGAAACACTGTTGTGAAATATCAATTTAAAATTCATAAAAAATTTTATTATTTCTGGTAATATAATAAATTTATAAACATGGCATTATAAAATTTTAATTTATGTCAACATGGAATTATAATTTAATTTATTGTAATAATGAAAAATGACATAGATTTCATAAGCAATGAATTCCAGTAATGAGAAAGTTAAAGATGTTCAATTAAACAGCATTTATAAACTTAAAACCATCAATCGAAGGGTAAAAAAGGAGAGAGACAATATACTTCAATATAACATGCATTATAATTTTAATTTATTCAACATGAATTATAATTTAATTTATTTAATATGAAAAATACATAGATTTCATAAGCAATAATCCAGTAATAGAAGTTAAAATGTTCAAATTAACACATTTATAAACTTAAAACCATCAATCAAGGTAAAAAGAGAGACAATATACTTCATATATCATTTTCCTATATTCTATAATTAATTAATTTTTTAATAAATTAGTCAGCTTGATCTCAACTACAGTTTTAATAAATGTTCATATATTAATTTTCACATTGTAAGTACAATGAAGAATTAGAAGTTAAATTGACTCAAAATCTCAAATATGATTTTTTTTTTAATTATAATGATTTTCACGTTGTAAGTACAATGAAGAAATAGAGGTTAAATTGATTCAAAATGTCAAATATAATTTTTTTTAATCATTTTAAATAAGTTCAGGGTTTACAATGCACTGCCGTTCAAAATCAAGTATTGGAATTGGACTTGCCAATTGGGTTAAATTGATTTAAAAATTGAAATCGGATCTTTTAATTATTTTATACAAGTTCAATGGCTAAATTGATCCAAAAAGTCAAATTTGATCTTTTTTATCCTACTAAATAAGTTCAGGAATCAGATTGACATTTATTCTTTTTATATAATATTCCCTTCATCATAAATGTAATCGTTTATTGCATGATGAATAGGATAGCAATTAATTCTCTCAAATTAAAATAAAATGTTTGTTAATTTGACAATATTTGTGGACAAAAGAATTATACTAAAACAATGTATGTTCACATGTGAACTTATTAGTTTTCAATTAAGAGTTGGTGTAAGGTTTTCATCTCATTTAATTTCATAATATTGACTTTTTTTATGAATTTTATGATGTTGACCTTAAAATGATATCTAATGTTAATTAAATAAGTTGGAGAATTTAAAGTACGTGTAAATTTAATTATATTAGTTCGATAAATATTCCAAATACGATTTTTATTTTGAATCATTTAAAATATTCAAAACAAAAATTAATAATTTATATCAAAAAGACTGAAAACTAATACTGATTAATTAGTAATCAAATGTAAAAATTTAATTATGATTTGACTAAACTACATTTGAATCCCTAAATCATATTTTAATTAACACTTTTGTCATTTTATTTTTAAAAAATATTAATGATGTCCTTAACTTTTGCTTAAACTTACGACTTGGTCTTTCCGTCTAAAATTCAATACTTTATCCTTAATCAAACATACTTTTTGGATGAAATATGTTCGGTTTGTTGAATAGAAATTGCTGATTCTTCGAATGAAAGAACATGATAATAGTTTAAACAATGTTAGGGAATTCATAGTAATTTCTTGATAACAGATGAATGAAAGTATTAATATCTATGAACTTATGTCTTTTACACCCTTATATTGTTGCAAAGTAGTTAAAAGAAGTGTGGTTTAAATTGGTAGCGAATCGGTTGAAAATTAGAGGCAAACCTAGAAGCGAAGGGTGAGCTTTGTTCACTCTTTTAGTCATAACACTTTTCACAAATAGAATTTCAAAATAATCTTGGTACCATTAGAAACTAGACAAAGAGTTGTCCAACCATATTGCAAGTTAAAATCACATCTAAAATAGGCCACGAACCCCCAAATCAATCAAAAGGTATCCAGTTGAACAAGATCGAACTAGGGTTAATTGCTAGGCCAAGCGGTCAACGCTAAGGCCTTATTTTTTACCAATGGCCTTAATGGTGATCACTCAAGCCATAAGCGGTTAGGCAGGCATGATTACGGTTTCAGAACACCAGTTTCGATTTCAAAATCGTCCGTTCTAACAATAAGAAAAGTGAAACTGAAACTGAACCGCTTTTAGATGATTTTTTGAAATGCCGATTCTGGTTTTGTTTCGGTTTGAATTTGAAATTTGATAATATATTTCAAGCTGTTTAAAATTCTTTTTAGATTTATAGCTTGAATAAACAACAACAACAACAATAATAATAATAAATATTGTTGTTGAAAAAATCTAAACCAACTTAATAAAAATTCTTAAAATTTATTTTAAACATAATAATAAAATGAAAAATAAATTGAGATTTTCTTTAAGAACATGTTTTTCACAGGTTTAATGGTTCCGATTTCAAAAAATGAAGGACTTGAACTGAACCTTAAGTGCATGATTTCGATTATGTCTGAACTTAGAAATAGTTGACCTCGATTTAATGCCAGTTTTGACCGGTTCAGTTTCAATTTTATTCCGATTTAAAATCGAATCATCATCATCCTTACAATCAAGCATAACAATCCCACCTTGTGATGTCTTCACTCTTCCACTATAAATTAAGCTCCAAAAACTCATTTGAAACCACTAACTGATAAAGATTACTTTCTAGATACTTTAGTTGAAACTTTACTTTGGATTTTTAGCTCTCTTCTCATCTTCTATTCTTTTTGAATATTCTAAGTGAGTAGCATAATATTCACTCAAACTCGCTTTTTCCCTAGTCTATTCTCTTCTTTTGGAGATGCTCCTCGTGAGGAATATCACCCTACTTTAAAGATTTTTTCTTGCCCTTGCTTTGGCGCCTCTTTGATTAACCAAACCATCACCAAAAAATCGTTCTAATAATTTGGAGCCTCTTTAATCATCTAAACCTTGAGTTTTAATTTAGATTTCTCCTTGAAATCTAAATCTTTTCCAAGCTGAAGCTCCAAGGCAAGAAGGTTCCCACTTCGCCGATCAAGCTAAGAAGGAGTCGAGCGAATTTGCAACACGAGACTTGCCCAAGGCTAAGGTGCATTCTCTTTAATCCTTAACTTTTTCAATTAAATATTTGCTTTAATTATGCATTGCTTCAAACTTGGTGATGAAAGCCAAAACATAATCATGTAAAGGATTAAAATAAACTTTCTCAATTATAACAAACCAACCCCCATTTTACGAGTAGAACTGCTTGGTTCTAATTCTCATTTAAAGGAATAAGCATGCACGCTCGACTACAAAAGCTGGAGTTGCGAACCTCAAGCAGCCTAATTTTTACATTTCAAAAGATTTTTGAAATAATTCAGAAATTGGATATTCAAGGAGGACTATTTAGGGAGGTAAATAAATTATTAGTAGAATGAAATATAGAACAATCTAGAATCTAGAAAAACCAGAGGACCTTGATTTAAACCGAAAATGAAACCATAGAAAACCAAGATTAGAATGGTTTGAACTGAACCAAACCTGAGTTAGACTGGACCAGAGTATATAAACCAATGAAAGAGGGGGGAAAACCAGAAATTTCTAGTTCCTCTCCTCCTTCTCGCATAGGTCGATCTTCCTTTCTCCTCTTTCCATTATTTTCGACCAAAAGTTCATTATTTTCGTTGGTGGAGCCCTCAGACCATGACTGAGTAAATGAAGCTTAAAGCTTTGAGCCCCTTGCAAGTTTCTGGCAATTTTCTTGTCGGTTCTAGTGGTTTCAAGCGCCAAGAAGGACTTTAATGACTTCTTTGAAGTCTCTTAAGTGATTCCCCTAAGTTAATTTGCTCTTCTGATGAGGAATAGGGGAGCCATCATTACCAAATGTTAGTGTAATTAGTGGATTATATGAGTTGCTATCCTAGATGGAAAATATATAAAAGGTTACTAGTGTTTATAAACACTTAATATATTTATTTGAATAAAATAGATGATGGGAAAATATGGAGAGAATCCAAAATTGGACTATATAAATTTTATATATTTATAGTCAAATAACGAAGTTGTTAATATTTTTTTATATATACAACTTTATTATTGTTATTATTATTATTATTATTTAATTAATTTCAAAATATTATTATTATCATTTAAATTCAAAATTAATTATTTAATTAATACAAGTAACGGTTTTTTTAGCAGTTACTAATTTGAAATTAATAAAATTGCTAGTGCCAGTTGAAAATAGATCTACATCTATTCAAGTCTCCTTATCGTTATATAAGTCATTTTTTAAACTAATACAATAATTTTAATGGTGTTCAATGTTGTTTTGTAAAATCCTGGAGGAATACCGCAATCAAATCTAGAATACAAAATAGTGGGGACTGTAATTCCTTAAGGATAATGAACATACTATCAAAGCAATTTTTTCTATTTACCACATTTTGTAGTTATTATTTCCAACAATCTTAAGGAATTAAACATTTACTATGGAGGCTACTAGATCTAAGATGTTCAAATCTGACATGCTAAAATTGGATCGTTTTGATAGAACCAATTTTCACCCACTGGAAAGATACATGGTTGTTCTGGGTCCCGTTTATATATGACACAATCCAAGAGGAAGGGGTGAATTGGATTTCTAAAAAAAATAAATATAACTTTCAAAAATAAAATCAGAATTCTGGAAATAGAACCAATTTTCACCCACTGGAAAGTATAAATGGTTGTTCTGGGTCCGTTTATATATGACAAACAATTCCAAGAGGTCCCGTTTATATATGACACAATCCAAGAGGAAGGGGTGAATTGGATTTCTAAAAAAAATAAATATAACTTTCAAAAATA